ACGAGCTGGAAGGGAGTGAGGGATAAGGAGAGGGAGGGAGGGAGGAGGGAGGGAGGGGATGGGAGGAAGGGAGGGAGGGGGATGGGAGGAAGGGAGGGAGGGAGGAGGGGGATGGGAGGGAGGGAGGGAGTGAGGGATAAGGAGAGGAAGGGGATGGGAGGGAGGGAGGAGGGAGGGATGGGACGAATGGAGGAAGGGGATGGGAGGAAGGAAGGGAGGGGATGGGATGAAGGGAGGGAGGGGATGGGAGGAAGGGAGGGAGGGGGATGGGAGGGAGGGAGGAAGGGAGGAAGGGGGATGGGAAGGGGATAGAGGGATGGAAGGAGGGTGGGAGAGGAAGTAGAGAGGGAGATAACATTATCAATAAGAGCATCTTTACTATTATTATTTATTTTTTCATTAGCCTTGTTATGGGCATTATCATCATAATCATTATTTATATCTTTATTATTATCATAATCATGATTATCATTATCATCTGTCATTTCTATTGCTACTATTACTATTATCATTATCATCAATAGTGTTATTATCATCATCATGGTTGTCATCATTATCATCATCATTATCAATATCAGCATTATCATTATTATTGTTATTATTATCATCAACATCATTATCACCAGGATGTTGATCATCGTCATCACCACACACTTTCAGTTAAATCGTGAATGTGCAAACTACATAGCAACACTCATTTTTCTTTTATGTGAATAATTAACACTATTATTGTTATTATTATCACTATTGTTATTACTATTACCAATATCATTATTACTATTATTATCATTATCATGAACATTATTATCATTATCATAATTATTATTATCATCACTATCATTATTGTTATTATCATTATCATGAACATTATTATTACCATCATTATCATTATTATCACCATTATCATATCATTATTATCATTACTATCAACACTATGAATACCTCCATAATCTCACACTAACCCACCTTCTCTGAGTGTCTTCTAGTTATTATCATTATCATCATTATCAGTATTATTACTGGTACTGTTACCATTATCATAAACACTAATACCTTTATCAATACCTTCATAATCTCACACTAACCCACCTCTCCGAGTGTCTTCTAGTTATTATCATTATCATCATTATCAGTATTATTATTACTGTTACTGTTACCATTATCATAAACACCAATACCTTCATAACCTCACACTAACCCACATCGAACTCCCCCGCGCCAAAGACTCACTCTTCAGGTACGTGAACGGAATCCCCGTCGAGCAGGAGGAACTCGTTATCCAAGCGGGTGTCCTCAGTCACTATCCAGTACACGTCTGGCACGAGCATCAAGGTCTGGGCCAGCTGGACCATCTCTGCTACCTGGTTGGTACGCAGGTAGGTCGACGTGACCACGTAGATGGTTCGCCTGAGGTCAAATCCATGGTCACGCTATTAGAGATATATTTACTTTCTTTTTCTTTAGCTGTTCTAGCTGACCTTGACACTCTTTATGTATGTTAAGAGAAGAATAAATAAAGGATACGAAGTGAATGAGGGAGAAACAAAGTGTGAAAGGAAGAGAGAGAAAATTTGTATATCGCATTCCAGAAATATATTACATGTAACTGCTGACTTCAAGTACAGCACTTTGTGTGTCTGGTCAGGTACAGGGTAAGGTCTTTATAGGTATTTCTATAGACATTGGCATAGAGTGGGTTTGATTACACTATGCATAATGGCCATCCGTAGGGAAACATCCCAGAACAACTGAAGCATGGAATAATACAAGTAACGTGGGTGTACCAAAAAGAAAAAAAAATGTATACACACACATGATTTATGCAGCGCAACGCGACGAAAGTAATAAATAATCTGTAATTTTTATTTTCATCCGAATCATTTTTATTGTTAAAAAAACAAAACAAAGACTAACGTACAGTTTTTACACTCATGAAAATTATGAAAATTATGGATGATCTCCTGCTATAAAAACTGACTACAATATTTACCACTTCAATACAATCATCACCATTAATTCAAATAGTCTATCCATAATTCGAGTTTCAGAGAAAACGAAGCTATCCTTATCCATAGAAAACGGCTTACTTAAAGGAGGGACTTGGCTTCACTGCTTTAATGGTAAGTTTAATTTGATGAATTAGCCTTATACAAATGTAATCATGCCTAACACATCTTTTATAATAGGCCGTCCTAAACAAGGAAGATGTAATTATATTCAGCACATCATTAACATTAACCCATTCTTGACATGCATTTCAAAATATCTGTTTCAAACCTTTCTGTTACTGGGCACCAAAGTTCTCGCCCCACACGTGTCCCTGTCCACCATCAGTTTAGACTATCCCAAGTGGTTCCTATCTGGCTTAGACTATCCCAAGTGGTTCCTTTCTAGCTTAGACTATCCCAAGTGGTTCCTATCTGGTTTAGACTATCCCAAGTGGTTCCTATCTGGTTTAGACTATACCAAGTGGTTTTTATCTGCCTTAGACTAGCCCAAG